ATGCTGGATACTGAATAAAGCAACATAACCCTTTCCATATCCAATAGAAATATCTGCAAAAAGCACAGTCGATTGTATGATTCCGACTATATTATGGGCTTGTGTTTATGAATCACTATCAAATGGTAATGATACCAGGTGTTTGCGAAAAGGTCAGCGTATCCTGCCCCACCGATGGCACCGCCGCCATACATGCAAAAGCAAGTCAAAATAGGGACTTCAATTTTGCCACTGATGCGTAAAATTTGAAAATGTCCTCCACATGTCTACCATAAAACTTTTCGGAAAAAAATAACAAAACAAAACATGTTGTCGAAGAAAAAAATCGTTAATTGATGATTGTTCATGCTGTCAAAAGTAACAAGTTTATATGATCACATCCAGAGAGTTCAATGATTGTGGATCCCATGCACATATAACTATTACTCACCATGTATAATATTTATCTGAATGTATTTGAATTACCCCGTTATAACCGAATATCTCACAGACAGGAACAATGTCCGTCTAATACGAGTCTGGAGGATGTGTGCGTCTCTAATTTATCTGTCTCTGTCTCTGTCTCTCTCTCTCTCTCTCTCTCTCTCTCTCTCTCTCTCTCTCTCTCTCTGTGTGTGTTTCAACTCACAATTCTCTCAGTTAATGTTCTTGTTTGAGCTCGATCATATAGTATACTAAAGTGAATGTGTATATGTTTGTGAACTGCCTGCTTCGGTGAGTGAATATATATAGGCCTGTAATTTCAGTGGCAATACACATTCTCATATTTATATACATTTTCACTAAAATTAAAATAACCAGTATAATATATCTCTCTCTGTGTCTCTCTGTGTGTCTCTCTCTGTCTGTCTCTCTCTCTCTCCCTCTCTCTGTTTTTGAGAAAGGAGGAGGTCAGGTCCTGGTCGTAGCTATACAGTATGGTTTACAGATAACAATTTTCGAAATAGTTGACATCAGACATTTTTTTAATTTATTTATAGTCCACACATAGAAAAGTCTTAAATCACGCAAGGTTACCATTAACAGTTTAACCACAGTTCACACGTTGTGTTGACGGTTTGGTTATAGTTTACAAATAAAAGATGCGGTGGGTTACAATGTTGGCATGACAGTTTTGATTTTAATTTAAAAATAACAGATTACCTCACATTTCACAATGTATGCCGGACAGATTTTACCATAACTTACACAAAACAGATTTAGACATATTTTACAATGTAGGCTCGACACTTTTACCATAACTTACACAAAACAGATTTAGACATATTTTACAATGAAGGCTCGACACTTTTACCATAACTTACACAAAACAGATTTAGACATATTTTACAATGTAGGCTCGACGCTTTTACCATAACTTACACAAAACAGTATAGACATATTTTACAATGTGGGCTCGACGCTTTTACCATAACTTACACAAAACAGATTTAGACATATTTTACAATGAAGGCTCGACACTTTTACCATAACTTACACAAAACAGTATAGACATATTTTACAATGTGGGCTCGACACTTTTACCATAACTTACACAAAACAGATTTAGACATATTTTACAATGTAGGCTCGACACTTTTATCATAACTTACACAAAACAGATTTAGTCATGGTTAATGATGCGGGGTCGACAATTTTATCATAAGTTACACAAAACAGAGATAATCACGGTTTACAACGTAGGCATGACGGTTTTATCACAGTTCAAAACAAATGGTTATGGTCCATATGCACTGAGAACAGTGTATCTCGGTTTACATGTTGGCATGGCAGTGTGTGAGATAAATAGTGGACTCATTCCAGATATAAGCATGAGCTGCATATTCCGAGAGCAGTTTCAGCAAAGTCAGTACATAACTGATTTAATTATGGTCGGAATCGTACAATCGACTCTGCTTTTAGCAGATATTTCATATTAATATGGAAAGGGTTAAGTCGCTTTTATTTATCATTTATATATTTAACCATAGTTAATACATATCATGTCACTACTTACATGTATACATCACTACTCAGGACAAAATTGAGCACAGTTATCAAATACAATATTTAACAAGGTTAGGGGCGGTCGGGTAGCCCAGTGGTTAAAGCGTTCGCTCGTCACGCCGAAGACCCGGGTTCGATTTCCGACATGGGTACAATATGTGAAGCCTATTTCTGGTATTTCCGCCGTGATATTGCTGAAATATTGCTAAAAGCGGCGTAAAAACATAATCACTCACTCACTTTAACAAGGTTAACTCCAACACCTGATGGCATCGCTGATTTTCAATGATCCATTCATATAATTGTTCATCAATATTTTGCCTTTTGCGCCCTTTGGAATCTGTTTTAACAAATATTCGAGACTGGTTAATCTCTGGCGTTGACGTTTCGAATTTGCATGTAAACCAGTAATTTGAAATCAATTATGATAAAAGGTTTTGTCCTTTTCGTTGTTGCTTGTATTTCTCGCTTTTATTTCCATATACACATGACAGTATTAGTCGTAGTTAACACTTACAGACTTAATTATAGTTTATAGGAAGACATGTCAACTTAACAGTTTAATCACGATACTAACACAGTTCATTAAGTTACAGCACGGCTGATTTAAACGTTGTTTAATAATAATATAAATAAAAGCAACAAAACCCTTTCCATATTCAATCGAAATCTATTATAACCATAATCAATTGTATGATTCCGACTATATCATGAGCTGTGTTTATGAATCACTATCAAATAGTGATGATACCAGGTGTTCGCGAAAATGTCAGCGTACCCTCCCCACCGGTGGCACCTGTCACAAACACATGCAAAGGCAGGTCAATTGTTCACCTGAAAAACCCGGGAACGTATGGTACAAGTCAAAATAGGGAATTGCATCGGACATCATTTTTGTCACCTGTGAGTCAAATTTGGAAATGTCTGATACATGTCTACCTTTTGAAAGCATTACTGAGGCCTTGAATGTTGCAACCTTAATTAAACAACTTCTCAGCAAGAGTCGTATGAGAAAATTCTCTGGCACCCAGGACGTTATTTTCACACATAACATATTTTTTAACCATGATTTATACACATAAAGTGAAGTTATGTTTTATAAATAACGATTTCATACATATGTGTATATAAATCATGCTTGATTAGAGTTAAACGTTGCATGTCAGGGTCACAATTATGGTTCACACATAACTACTAATCATGGTTTACGTGCTGTGCTGCGTCAGGCAATACATACTTACACATGTACTTGTTTATGCAAATTCTGTGAATGGCGGGTGCTACCGCTAGGGCAGGACAGGCTTACCCTTTTCGCGAACACCTGGTGTCATCACTGATTTTCAGTGGTCCATTCAATAATTTCCACAGCTTTTTGCCCTTGAAATTTGTTTCCACATAAAATCTAGCATGGTTTGTCTCTTGCATTGATAATTTATATTTACATGTTCATGTGACAAGTTTAATATTGGTTTACACATAAAATGTTTAATAAAGGTTACATATAACATAGTTTATTATGGTGTATGCATGACGCATGTTAATTAACAAACGTTCTATCTTTATGTGTCACGGAAAACGTACTTTTGATAAATATGTCTGAAATATGAAAATCCTATTGCTGGCATGTAATAACGCTACGGTAGAAATAGACCTTAGATTTTATATTACACAGTTACACTTAAAAAAATGTATACCCGTACCTGTTCATTATTTGAAACTTGTCGACATTCATAAGTGAGTATTCTGTTCAGCAGTATTACAGTTTTTCCCGACGGCGACCACCGATGACTTACAACAACAACGTGCTTTTCATTGGAACTAAGGGAGGTCGGGTAGCCTAGTGGTTAAAGCGTTCGCTCGTCACGCCGAAGACCCGGGTTCGATTCCCGACATGGGTACAATGTGTGAAGCCCTTTCTGGTGTCCCCCGCCGTGATATTGCTGGGATACTGCTAAAAGCGGCGTAAAACCATACTCACTCACTCATGGGAACTGAACCCGGACGCGTCAACCGTCTGGATGCACCACTGTCCACAGTATCCATAAAACGTTAATCTATTCATATATTTAAGTATTCCCGATAGACAAAAAAAATAACGACTGCTGTTCGTAAGAGTTCATCCGATAAAATACTAACTTCTTCAAACAGTTTCACTATTTTCTGATTGACAAATAGAAGTTAAATTTACAGGTCAAATCGAACGAATTGTTGGGTTTTGGAATAGAAAGGTTTGTTTTGTGATAGTTTTAAGATTATTGTTTTAATAAGATCTTCAGAGTACAGAAAATAGTTTTATATCGATTTCCCCCCACAATAATGATTGATAGGCTCATGAACATTTTCGAAATTACAATGAAGAAATGTGGTTTGTGAGGAGAATGTAATCAAACTGAAAAAATGAGCGTAGCCTTTTCAATTCAATGTAACACGCGAGGGCGAATAGCATTGTTTTGCCGTTCATTTAGTGACACTTTGCTCAAGAATAAATTGCCCTTGTTTCAGTTATATAAACATCGCTGTGAGAGAAAAACAGGGTAGTGTTAAAATCGGTCTGCGACTTATCGTAGGACGGGAGTTCCCATTACTTATAGACGCTGGATTAAAAACGTTTGTAACCCCGACACTCCTCAGCCTAAAAAATATGGTGAGATTAAGAAATATTGTATTGCCTTCAACAATACACAATCACAAACAAAGTGAAGCTTGTGGCTTTAGTCGACGTAATATGACCCGGCTTTGTGTCGATGCAGTCCACAGTGTCGCCTTGCCTCGCCATCAGCATGAGTTAGGGACACAGGGTCAGGGGTCACGTGATTAAATGCCTCTCTAGCCCCCCGAGTGTAACAAGACTAGCGGAAGCTGTTATGTGTTGAAAGAGACGGTATCGCGTCGACCAATTAAGTGATACCTTATCCGCGAGCAGAACACATAGACCCGCCTACATTATCTGAATGGCGACTTCACATTAGCCAATGACAGCGCTCGTAACATGGATCGGAGGGGATACTGTTGGCAATAGACCCACTGAGAAAGGTTGCGTGCGATAGGCGATTGTGTTTTGATGATTAGTCTGAATTCTATTTTCTTGTGGTAATTTCCACGAGGCAGGACCATTTCACTTGAGAAGTCAACAACAGAGGATAAGACTTTGTGAAATAGGCGCATGAATCAGAAATAGCACAGTGGAGTTAGACGGAACACAGTACACAAGTTAAGAATCTACTTCACCCAGGAACAGGAACTATTACGCTCGTAGGATGGACGTACAAGCTGATGATGTTGTTGACAAGTCACCTGCTGTTGTGGAGGACTCTGACATCGACGACGTCGTCACGGTGACGCCAGAATCCTCCGTCCCGTCACCAAAGACCACCAACTTCAGTATCGCTGCTATTCTAGGGGGGTCATTAACAACAAAAACTCAGCAGCCCGTCCCAGAGCCAGAAAACGATGACGACGACGACATTGAAATAACAGTTGGTAAGAATCTCTTTACATTTAATATTTCTTTCAAATAAGACATATGTCAGTTCTTTACATTTATGAACAGGGGGTGATATGAAGACCCGCTTGTGTATTCGGGATGGTATGAGAAAAAATGAAGACCGTTCAATATAATAAGAAACTATGAAACAGTTAAACATTACGTCTTTAGTTTAGTAGCTTAATGTTAGCAATGATCATGTTTTAGTAATAAGATATCACAACTATTTAAAAATACACACTCCATATGTTTTGCAATCGTGAACAAATGTCAAGAGACAATAAATCACTCTCAATAAGACCCAAAGAAATGAAAATGGTACATTTGGCATTTTAAGGTCTAATATTTTACGTAGAATAAGTGGCATCCGACACTCGACACAATAGTCAGCGCTCCCCATCACAACTGTATACACTCTGTCAATGGGCGTCGTTGGTGGGCTTTCGTGATCCTTGTTAAAAAATCCCCGTGCCTAAGATTTTGTAGGGTTTACGTAGTCAGTTAGAATACCTCCAGTTTTTCTCAGGCTCCAAGAATTCTCAAATTGTCTCTGCAATATCTCAGCGCCCATGGGTTCCAGCGTGAACGTTTGGCGTTGTTTTCTGTGAGGGAATACACACACTTTATATTCTCCCTCTGATAAGAGCTGTTTCCTGGCGCTCTCTGGGCGGTTCCAAGTCACTGTGCTGTTAACATCTATACCCTCTTATAGTTACTGTTATTGTTATATGCTACGGAATACAAAATAATCATCGGAAATGACGGTTATTCTTGACAGTGTTACGTGTAAACATAAACGTCATTGCCAGAGAATATCAGTACAGAATAAATACAAGTGTTTCAACGAAATAACACATAACGCGTTCCATAAATGGACATGTATATCCACATTTAATGCCGATTACACAGTGATCTGTTTATACTCCCGCGATATTACATGTGAACAAACATTATTGTACTAGTTAAAAGTCTTCGGAGGAGTAAGAAATGAGAATAACTGTGTTGTATTTTACGTACAATGTCATATTTATTGTACTAATTATAAACGTCATTCAATGCAACTGTCTCCATGTTGATATATAACTGCATACATATTTAAGACATAGTTATATCAATGCGGTATGTGGACATAATTTCACGCATTAAAGAAAATATGGTCTGTGAGAATGATACACGATTGGCAATAGTAATAGAAATGCGTTTTTCCGTTGTTCATTTTCACATAACATGACATAACTGATTATTTACACAATAACTATTAGCATTTTTTACAGTAGTCTATGAGAGATTCTACTGTTTTATTAACAGAAACAGCCAATAGACTCAGCATAGAGAGTTTACACTGATCACGACAGTATAATGATCGACTCGACAGCAGAACAGTGAATAATATTTTTAAATTAGTTACACGTATATATATAAATCTAATCAAGTCAGTATCATTATAATTTAAGATGTCATTCTCTTCACATTCAATACCCTTAAAAGAGCTAATGTTTAATATGATGTGTCAATATAAGAACTTGTGTTTAATATGGTGTGTATATAGCCTAGAGCTGTAAAGCCGCAAACCCAAATAACGGTATTGAGATAAATTATTCTTTTACCGTGTACATAATTTTAATAAGAATATATCATTTATGTGAGAAAATAAAATGTGATAAAATATATTAAATAGTAGTTCGTTTTCACAACATATAACTAGCTACTGAAGCATATCGCCATCATAGATCATCATTATAATTTAACATTATTATCATTCTTCTACTTATAATCTTGTAGTTGTATTCTTTAAAGGAAACACATAAAAACTCGTTTTTCAATACGCTTTCCGTCATGAAATAAACCTAAACTCAAACGATGTCTCACATATGAATTACTGTACTGTTTCAAAATTCATGTTTGAACATATAATCGCCGGTTACAATGGACAGGTTAAAATGAATGAACATGTTCCGTGAATTCACGCCATGAATGAAACACTGTATGTCAATGAACAAGTTGCAACTAACACCATGATAAGCCAGTAGATATCTCTACTTACGTCCTACAGATAACAGCGTTAAGTCACCCAGAAGTGCCACAAACCACCCACTCAGTTCAATCTTGATGGGAATTGTTCAGGGGTTAAATTGATATTTTTGATCATTACAGATTTTCTGACGTAGAAATTCGAGTATATAAACTAACATTGTATAACTCGATTACATGTAACTTCTGCGATATCTTAATTACAGCGTTTTGCGTAAATGCATGTCTCGTTATTCTGAACGCTAACACATGTTTTAAGGATGACCAGCGAAGTGTAAATATTTTTGTAAACTTCAAACGGTGATATCTTTCAGCTAATTAAGATGCAATGGGTCAATTTACCGAGGTTAAAGGTTGTTGCTAATTTGCAAACTTTATTTGCACAATAAAATATCACTTTCATTTTAACACGTCGATCGAATATTACATATTATAACATAATGAGAAGGAGAAATATAATATTTCGCTGATATTAATACAGTTGTTAGTTAAAATCATGAGAGTATCTTAAACTTCCTTGAAACCTTATTCGATATGTGTGATCGTTGTGATTATCTTAACATACTTTCCTCATCAAAATAAATATTTGAAACCTCATACCTCACTTGCATCAGTTTCTTTCAAAAACTTAAACCGATATATCGGAAACTCGTTAATTGCTTAGATAAATATCGTCATTCCCATGTCCCACACCCACCACAATGTATGCGTCGTCGGTATGAACAATAGGAGTCTGTTACGTTTAACCATCAAACCAGTTGCAAGTGTACGCTCAATTTGATCAATAACATCTCAAGATATCATTTGATTGTGTGTGTTGTTAGTTAAGATGTGATCTCATAAAATACCCTAATATGTGTATATCTTAGAGGAAAAAAATAACATTGTAATTGAGAATATTTTAGACACTTATAATTTTACGAATATTCTTTCTTCAAATGTTTCAGAATCTCTTGATGGTGAGAGAGTAGACACACCGGAAGTTAGCAAAATCGCAGACGACACACTAAAAGTGGTTGGCGAACTAGACTGTGTTGAGTGCCGACTGGAGACGAAAGAATTATGGGACAAGTTCCACGATCTTGGAACTGAAATGATTATTACGAAAACCGGCAGGTAGATACACATTTTGTAATAATTCGCACAAACTGGTATACCAATATGTTTCGATGACGCAAAGTTTAAACATCAATTCTGAATTATTTGGGTATTTCAGATGGATTTTATATTGAAGTGACTCCGTACTGAATTATTTGTAGTAGTATTCTAATATTGCATTTCATTGTCAAAGTCGTCTTAGTCGATATTGTTTTAATTTTACACGGAAAGAACTTCCACTCGTGTCGACGTCTATCAGTTGGGATGCAAAGAAATAAAAGCGACACGACCCTTTCTGCAGCAACAAGAAATGTGAAAATGTCTAGTATGGGATCACTTTACGGTTAATTTAGATCAGGAAAAGGTTTTATGTTCGTGCGACTAAATATGGTGTACTGATACTTAGATAGTTACAACTGCAGTCCGTTTTAATTCCACATTCTTGCAAATGGCATATGCGAATACGCAGTTAACGAAAACGAGTCAGACACATTCCTTGTGATGTAGGATAGTTTATCATTCCCATTCTGACAGTGCAGCAAGCATGTTGGTAGTGGTATGCCAGATTCATAATATCCATCGACTATTTTGCTGTTGAATACACCAGGAGGACTTAAGCCCAGAGAGGGACATTGTATCATTGCTACTGGAGATGTTTCAACAATACCAGAATCGATCGCCCTCTACACTACCACGTCACGGAGTGTCAAACGCAGCTCGCTTTGTCAATCGCTGTTTGAACAAAAGACGTAGCATTTAGTGACAATGGTCGTATATAGGGGGACGATAATGAGGATGGCCACGCTCGGCAAATGACCACAACAGACCCATAAACAGTCGTATGTGCTAATTTGTGATGATCTAGACTTGTAGCAACATTTTAACGCGGTCAAATTATCCCTTGTCGGTGATCATAAATTGCCCTGTTATGTCAACCCCATGATATCATTACGGAGGAGGATTTAGGCGGAGACTGAACGCAGGTGATGGAGAAACAGTTTTCCAATTACAACTGGATAATTACCGGTCAACGACTATTTGTTGGGAGCTGTCTCTGTGGTGGCGATTCACGGGAAACTCCGTCTTTGTCGTGATCAGTAATTAAACGCATGCTCACATTTCGCGAGTCAATCTTAAATAAATCAGACTATAAAAGTCCCATAAAATCTTGTGTGAATGCTAAAGGACTACCCCTATTCTCTGCCAGACGTTGAGGGCCCCCCTGCGGCGAAAATGGGAGGACCTCACTCCCTTACTTTCAATAGTTGGCTGATTGTGCAATGACAGTAAAAAGGTAGTTTATGGTCTAAATGTGTCTATTTATTGTCTCAAATAACCGTCATTGGTTAAAACGATCGTCTGGTAGAGTAAAATGCTGATTATTCAATCTATCGGATCCGACCATCGTGACATATTTTGAAGTCAATTGTTATGTACTTATCTTTACGTAAACCTTTCCGTTTGCAGTGTAATTAATGCATGCTCGCTTGTAACGTGCATTCAGCGTCACGTGGCGTTTAGGAAACAATTAACCAATTCATCATGTTGTATGATCTTGTTCATAAAGACCTGCCGCCGTCTTGGAAAAATGTTAACAATTTCAGGAGCGCATCAGTTTTACGGTGACGTAACTGTGTAGTTTTCTTATTCCCAGAAACGACATTTAAGCACATGACGCATCTGTATTTTAGCACACCGTGTGCTTAAACAGCATGTCCCGTGGATATTCGTATTCCTGCACAACGAGGCTGTTAGTAGGCGAGTGGTCGGTGTGTCTGTTCGTGGTACGGGTTCGATTCCAACAATGGTCGTGTTATGTCTGACGGATACGTAAAATTCACTTACAATGTCTATAGCCCCCCACCATTTAGACTGTACAATACACTCATATCTCTCTGTCATAATCAAGTTTTCCCTTTTATCACGATTGTCCCACGACAAATCCGTTTGTCATATCCATGTTGGGTGTTGATATTGGCTGTTGATGCAAGGTGCTGATTTAATGTAATGTTGAGGTATGTTGAGTTGTGTACCAACTAAAATGGGAAGAGAAATCAAACCGACGATACTAACACCAACGTTGTGTGTATCACTTGGCCGGGTTCCTTTTAGCAATGGAGATGTGGTATTGTACGTTATTATTGAAATCTGGAGTTAAGGATTTTCATAATTCGTATGGAAAATGTATGGGTCACTATGATAATGTTCGATTATAAATAATAGCATTCTTGCTCATTAATAATGAGTCGTATATACAATGCTGCATATATATGACACGTTAAGTGTTCATCACATACTCTCTCTCTCTCTCTCACACACACACACACACACACACACACACACACACACACACACACACACACACACGCATGCACATGCCTCTTGTAACAAAATACACCTTATTCAAAATCTGTCGTAGCCCCCTTATAAATAAACCCCCCAAAACAGTCGTAATCGTTCTGACTATTTCCAGTCTATATACGCAATGGGCGTCAGGGGTCGCCAGCAGGTGAGCGCTGTTAAGTGTGACTGGTGTCGGGTGGACATGCGTCATGTTCTCTCCTAACTTTAATTAATTATTTTTGTTTATTTTTTCACAGTTTTCGAATTGTGGCCATCGCTTAACAGAAGCTTCACCATTTTCTTCCACATCACTTCTTTACACCATGCTTGAAGCCAATAGTGAAATTGTGTATACTATTATTCAATACAATCATTCATTTGTTGCTGAGAAGTAAGATTATTGATTTTTCAAATAACAGCTAGCCTTACACTCGTATGCGGATGTAGAAATGAAACAAAATGAAACAATCTCTGTAAGTGAAAGTCATTTATAACGGTCCAACATGATCCACAGATTCCTATGTTATCATTTGTAGACATCATCCAATGTCTCTCGAATTTGTTATTGCGCTTTAGAATAAAACGCAATACACTCACATGTTGCCAAACCACGAACCGCTAAACTGGTAAGATAGAACCCTCGTTATATCAACACAAAAAATGTAGAATGATTTGCGCTGTTGTCGTTTCAAACTAATTACCCCACGATCTCTGTTGCACCAGTCCCTAGCTAACTTATGTGGCAACAAAGCTTGATAGTAGTGTAAGGGATCACGACGTAAGCTGACTCAACTTTGGAAATCATATTAACAGAACGCTTTGATTATCGAGGAAGCCTAACATGGATGCAAATTTTTTTTATTTTTTTTCTCTAACATACCTTCTTAGAACATTGTTACTTATGACACATATATCCTGATGTGGATGCAACCTTTTGTAGTTTGCTTCCACATCCATAAAGCTGATGGAGATAAATATGATAAAAATACATGTAACGCATCAATAGACAATTGGTTAAAAAGATAAACGTCATCCAGATGGCGGATGGGATCAGTGGATGAAACGCTCTGGTCTAATCTCGGTCTTATTTATAATATTCGGCCGTGGTTGTCTCTACTGTATATTATTCACGACACATTGCTCTGCGTGTACATGGGTCTTTTGTAATCTTCTAAGGAACGATGGGGGCAATAAACTATCGCAGAGAAAGTTCAAAACTTTTCAACTCCGCAGATAGGTAACGTGAGCTTTTAATTAAAGATTTCTTCAGATAAGTGTTGTAGACGACTATATAATTGGACTTGGCCAATCGGGGCGGAATAAACAATATCATTTTCATTCAAATGATCTGAGGATATCACTAAATAGGGGACACTCCCATGATAATAGATTAGTCAATTAGTTTCTTGTCTCTTTGATAAAAGTTTTTATTTCCCTCATTTCCAAGGTTTCCTTCATTCCCTCATCGGAGAAATATCACAACCACTATCATCACTGAATCCTTTAATCCAATTAAAGCATTATCTCGTTGCAAGACTCTTATACGGGGTCTCCTGTCGCCTTCATCTCGCTAGTACTTATGTTATTGGCAATTTTGTATCATGTAATTAAGCTTGGTCGCCAGAACGCGATCTCTACTCCGTTTGTCAATGTGAGGATTTAATGTCTCCCTATACGGATAATTTACGCGTTCACTACGTTAGGAGAAAATTAAGAGTTATTTTGAACTAGCCTTTATCGGGGTTAAAAAGAAGTAATTTGTCACGATGCCTTTGTTTTTTGAAATACATTCATTACTCGGTACGCGTTTGATGTATGCCTTTTGCTCGAGCAGATCGCTACGGAACATAAACCCGGTAATAGGGTTGTCGACTTAAGATAAAATGCGCTGCTGCATTTCACAAAACACTATCAGAAAATAACAGTGGTGCGTTGCGGTGACGACATCGCCTTCATCAAATTACTAACTATATTACCCCGTATGTCCTCACGGAGTTGGATGTAGTCACACACGCAAACTTCCTCTTCATCATTGAAACTGGTCGACTTTCCCCGCCTCTTTTGCCCTACGTTGGCCATCAGTTCGGGCTAGATTTAATAGGGTTGTTAGTTCGAACGATCTCAGGTTAGCGGATACTTGACTTGGGCTTAATTCCGTGGCCTCTAGAACAAAGAAGGCATAATTATATTTAGATATACATCAGTGCACGACACCCTTGTCGTCGTCTGAGCCAATGTTCGAATATTGTACGTGAGTTAAATTTCCACGAGCGGAAATTTGATGGATTAAACCACGACACGTAAAAAGAAACTCGATTCAGGAATTTTGATTTGGAGAAAAAAGAAAAGAACATAAAAAATATACCAGGAGTGTATGTTTTCTTGGTTTGATGGAGATGGATTTGAAAGAAGAACATTTTTTGTTTTTTTCTTTTGATAGTATTATTGAATGAGGTAATGCTTGCGTGCTAGGAACTATGGTTAATTAAGTTAACTTTTCTCAAATCATTTACATCGGAAAGTTTTTCGGATAGTTTGTCAGATCATTTATGAATAAGTCCCGAGTCAAATGTAGTTCTTAGTCTCTTCTGCCTCGTGATGAATCACATTTAAAGAAACCAACTGACATTCGGGCACTTGCAATTTCGTGCACTGTCGGAGCGATGGAGTTGGGTAGCCCAGTGGTTAAAGCGCTCGTCCATCGCGCCGAAGAACCGGGTTTGATTCTCGACATCCCCACAGTGAATGTGGCCCGTTTTGGCATCTCCCGCCGTGATATTACGAGAATAAAAACATAATTCTTATTTAGAGGTTGTTTCTATGCTAATTAGTCGTGTACTTCATTAAAAGCTCTTGGTTTTGCTTCTTACAATTGGTTAGGGATCATGAATATTTTTGGGGATATTTTTATGAAATTATGTGCTCAGTCTTCACTACAAAAATCTGCCCCCAATTATTCATGATCCCTAACTTTTTTTGTTCAGTATATTATGATGAAAACAAATATTTCATTTTCAAAACACTTTTAACATGACATGTTAAAATAGAAACACTGTTTACTGTGTACTTAAGAAATCTGAACTTGTACTTTAATTACACATTTCAACCAACACAACATGTGTTGACCACATTCATTACACCTTCACAGACCGCGAGGAATAATCCAGCCTATCCATACCCTAATCCAGACAGAACGAACGCTGCTTTGAAAATGTATTTTTACCAATATCAATACAAGAACAAAACGCCACAAAAGACAAATGTTTTGTAAAGGATCAGCTATAGGACTGCCCTATCTTAACACACCCGTGTTTTTTACCCCCGTGTCTTCCAACGATCCACCCCCTGTCGCACAGGACATAATTCCGCCTACGGGTAATGAATATATTTGACAAGAGGTAGCCTCACAAGTAAAACGTTTCTCTTCTAGCGTCTAATTATGTGATATAAGCGGTTCATTCTCTATTATCAAGGCAGTCTGTTGAGCCTTCCACGCCATAAGTAACTTGACACGTCTTTTGCCGAACTGAGCTGTTACACACTGGTGAAATTAACCTCCGACCGGGCAGGTATAAATTCTGCCACCATTTTCGACACGGCCATTTTATGTACCGATTCACACACAAGGTTATACTGGAGGTGACAATGAATACTTAATCATTCGCTAAAGTTTTTTTTTCTTGCTTCCTGGCTTATATTTTCTGATCTGTCTTCCGTGTTTTGTATAAGGAATAATGCTCACGCTGTGTTGATGACCATGGGAGTGACATTTGGCACTCAATAATGTTTCAAGGACGTGACGCTCCATGAAGGACTCTCATTTGGTATCAATGTTGGAAATGCATTACATGTGACACTAGCACTGAATAGAACCCGTGAAGATTCGTGTTAGAATAGGTCTTCAGCAATCCATACTTGCCGTAAAAGGCGACTGTGCCTGTCGTAAGAGGCGACTAACGGGATCGGGTGCTCAGGCTCGCTGACTTGGCTGATGCATGTCATCGTATCCCAATTGCGTAGATCGATGCTCGTGATGTCAATCAATGGATTGTCTAGTCCAGACTCGATTATTTACAGACCGCTGGAAACAAACAAAGCACTAAATGGTGTCTTCTTGAAGGTACTGCGTCTACCTGCATTCGTGTGATAGCGATACAAGGAAGTTTCATATTGATATGTTGATTGCATGCTCCCTTTGCTTATAAAGTATGCCAGAACGTAAATCGCACTCATCATTGATTTTCTGTGGTCCATTCATATAATGTCTACCACTCTTTTGCCTTTGACGCCCAATGGTCAATCTGTTTGGCCAGATCATTCTGATGATCAGGTGCTGACGTCTTATAGTTATTCTGGAATGAGTCATCTCTGACAATACTTCAGTATGTTTGCCTTTGCCCTTTACTTGAATGAGTGAGTGGGTGAGTATAGATTTTCGCCACTTTTAGCAATACAGCAATATCACGACGGTGGACACCAGAAATGGGCTTCGGACATTGTACCCATGTGGGTAGTCGAACCCAGTGTCCACTAGGCTACCCCCACCCACCACCCCACTTTTTACTTGAAACGGGACATGTGGATATAGAATCTAAATCGTTCGAAGGTTTCGTGTTCTCGGTTTATGAACCATTGCCTACAACTCATTTTAGGATAACTGCTATCGTGGTGTTATCACGATTGGACAACGACACCATTTTATTAGTTCATGCCAATATCTCCCACCATCTCATTAGCCTATTTCTCATTAACTGAACCGCAGAACAATGAATCTATGCTTCACACAGTAAGCGACAGTATCGACCCTACGACCAAATTGAGTGGGGGTTTGTGTTCGAGCAGCTAACCCAGGTACATCTCACTTAACACGCTCGCATGTAGCTCCGTTGCCGGAGACACGCCTCAATGACGACAGGTGCCACGCTGAAAACACACCTTGCAAATTGTAAATCGATTCAGGGAGACAACACCGGCCCTTTCTTGAAAACCAACACGTGCGCTCACTGAAAAAGGAGATTTAGAAAATTGTCCCGATTAAACCTTGACCGTAGTATAAGGTTACCGTGGAGGTAATCACGAGTGTTTTTCTACGCCAGGGTGGTATGTGTACGTAACGGGGCTCTCAACAATACTGACTTCAGGTTTAAAACTGCCATTGTTCGCGAGGCTTCACAACAAGAGTTTAGTCAGCCGACCAGTGCTGACTTTCATTTTGTGTTTGACAGATAAGTTGTGAAAGATCGACAAGGGAAGATATACCTTGTTTGACACTGTCTTTTCATCTCAATGAGAAAACCTAAACGTCTTCATGGACTTTCCCACTGAGGTAATGATAACAATCGCATCGCATGCTCCTATGGTGGCAATTCTATACATGCGGGGCTAGTTCGGTAATCCTGTCCACCTTTTCTCTTTTCATAAAGACAGGAAATCGTCATCAATTATGCTACAGGACGTGATACCCAACACAGTCATCGGTATCATAATTTTACTGATAAACAACTCTGATTTGTCGCTCTGAAAGGAAAAAGTGTCATGTTTGTTTCACGGTGGTATGTGTTACAATCTGTCAGCTCCAAACTGTTGTAAGTGTTGAGGTCACGGTTGGTGTCTTACAAGTATATGTTCCTGGTATGTTCCTGGGGAACTTGGGTGTTCAGGTATATTCATTATGTCACCATGATACACGTATCATGCATATATGCATGTGAAGCAGGCAAACTGCTGATCATTGCGTCGCTGTACTAGGGTCTCAAGTGAATTTATATTGGTTATAATCTGTTTCATCAAGACTAATTATTCTCTGGCGTTGACATATATAAATTAATATTTATATAAACTATATTCTGTTTTGGGCAGGGTGGGTTGTGTCTGTGGAGACCACGTAACGCAGAACGGACTTTGACATTAATGAACTTTTATCATTCCGTTTAAAAGTTGCTTGATCAAGGTTACAACATTCAAGGTGCCAGCAAAGATGTCAAAGGGTGTTGTAGTAGACATGTGAAGGATATTTCCAAATTTGACGCATGGACAAAAATGATGTCCGATGCAATTCCCTATTTTGACTTGTACGAATGTTCCCGTGGTTTTTCAGGTGAACATTGGGTTGCCTTTGCATGTGTTTGTGACGGGTGCCACCGGTGGGGCAGTATACGCTTACTTTTTCGGGAACAGCTGGTATCACTATTTGATAGTGATTCATAAACACATGATCATGATGTAGTCGGAATCGTATAATGGTCTCTGCTTTTTGGCAGAGATTTATTATGAATCTCATGGTCATGCCTCTGGCTGCTCTACTGGAAAACACTACATCATCTTGACCACTGACATCACTATCTCAACGTCCATTACCAGAAACATATGTGTAACAATATCCTACTTGTTTTGCAGACGCATGTTCCCGACTTTGCGTGTGTCCTTCACTGGCCTTGAACCCGACCAACGTTACATCGTCGTCATGGACGTGGTTCCCGTGGACAACAAGCGCTACCGGTACGCATACCACAGGTCCTCCTGGCTGGTGGCAGGGAAAGCCGACCCCCCTTTGCCCGCTCGGTTCAATGTCCACCCAGACTCGCCCTTTACAGGAGAGCAGCTGATGAAGCAGACCGTGTCCTTCGAGAAACTGAAACTGACCAATAATATTCTGGACAAGAGTGGCCATGTGAGTATATGCATAACTGTGATTGTACACTTTAAACATGTAATTTCATTTTAAATCCAGGCATATCTCGACATAAGCGCAATGAACTTTATCACTCTTTTAAACTATTTTGATGTTGGCATTTGCATAAGATATATGTATGGGTTATATGTGAATGGACGAAGCGCTGAAGTAATTCATCAATACATGTGTATTAACTGGGGTATGTAGACTGCCGGGTAAAGGAAAGTATACACCCATGTTTGATGGTGCTAATGAACAAACAAGAACTGGGTATTCGATCGTGATGTGATTGATAGATGATCATAGTTGGGTTTTGGACGTAAAGTTTGCAGTGTTTTTGAGGCATTTGTCATTCTAGTAACGTTTTGATGTCGTTTGTTTTTGGTCGAATCCAATTTTCAAGTGTATACTTTCTTTTACTTCTTAAGCTATCACTAGAAGTATGCTATCTATTAATATTAAGTCAACACAAACAATACCACCGTGAATTAATTCGGATATACTGAAGTGGTTTAAGAAACCAGACAGTTTCAACAGAATTGGCAAACAATGCTTGATTCATATACTTTGATATGACATGGAAATGTCCACCACCCACCCTGCCAAAGCCACCCCACCATTCATTTCACTCACAAAAGTTAGAACGGCCATGACCCCTTGCTGCACCTATTGACAAGAATACGAATTATATCTCTATAAAGACTGCACAACCCTGAAAAGTGTTATTTCTAAGTCATGAAACCTGCTCAAATCTTTATTGACTACAGAATAATTATCCACTTCCGAAGTAATAATATTTAAGGTGTGCGGTATGTAATCAAAATCATACATTCTGAAATAACATATCCATCAAATACGACTTTATAACAGGATAGCGTACATGAAAAACTGAAGATTTAGTTCAAACCACTGCATATTCATTGACGTTTACCATGGCGAACTTAATGACTCATGAGGTCAATGCAATTTTTTAAAATGGAATCTTTAAGCTCAATTATAAAAAAAATAATTGGAATTTCAATTCAAAGTACTATGAGGGATACCCTTGCTATTTCAAAACCCGTTTAAAACTAATATTTTTTCAATATATATGCAGCTGTTTAATCCCCGGTGCCAGAATGACAATCAAAATCACTTCTGTGGTAAAATGGAATGTTACTTATCCCGTCCATAAAGTTACTTTAAACAACGGAACCTCTTTAATCCGAATATTGTAGCCCAACGGTGAAACCCATATATCCGAACCTCGCTGAAACACAACGAAGCCTCGTTTACCCGAATCTCGTATAAAATGAATGGAAGTTCGTTTATCCGAAACTATTACTAGCGACACACCATATATCTGCGAAGAACTGAGTATCATATATTATTCAATATATTGTTCCGAAAACCCATAAATTAGGACACTTAGGTGAGAAACCACCTGTCCGTATAAAAGAGGTTTCCTTTATAAAAAAGAGTCAGCATGGCATCCTGGGTAGGCTACTAAATAACCCGGATGTCACGTTGACACTTGTCGAGTGAAATCTTTTATCAGATAAACGAAATACATGGCATTCCTGAAGGACAAGTTAAGTACCCTGGTTTGAGGAAGATGGCGATGGGTTAAAGAGGCTGGTGTTTAGGCCAAAAGTGATGGAGTCGACGTAGTTGTACGTTGTTAGACGGAGTCCTATCTACCGCAGCATGTGTCAGCGGTAATGTAGGGGCTTTGTATGCAGCACAAACACTCCACAACAACTGTTTATTTACCGCGTATCTGATTTCATGAATTTATGTTAGGTCGCGCTATTGCTGCTTGGGGATGCATAGATCACTCCCCTGCTCCACGGAAAGGGGGGCTGATAACCCGTATGTTCAAATGACATGGTGTCGACACACTCGTTTCCCCTCTTCAAGAAGAAAAATAAACATGTCAGTCGTTTTTTGGATGGTTTAAAACCTTATGTCAAACGCTAAGTTGACACTTATCGGCGTGAGATGTGGGAGTTGAAATGTTGATTTCAAATGGGAGTGACTTTAGATTGCAAGCCGTGGGGAATTAACAAGTCGGCAGTTTTATTACATTTTTGGACGATTTCGTCTTTGGGAAAATGGAAGTTGATGACAAGGTCGTTTACAAAATATGGCTTAGTGACTGATAAGGACCATATGTACATGACAGACACGTTAATCGAGGTATTCGTTTCCTTAATGTATGTCTGTAAATACCATTCAAAGCTTCGCTATGTAACGTTGGCCTGTAATAAATGAGGTATGAAATCAAGTAGGAATCGACAAACGTTTCGAGCTGTTAAACATGACTTAAATATTGATGTCAACTTTTAAAAACATGTTTCAGTCAGTTCAGGAAATAACTGAAGTTTGAACTCACAGATAAATGATATCGATTGCCCTTAGCGTTGGTTTCGTCACAGTCGAGTATTCACCATATCCGTAATGTTGATATGCGGAGTTGTATATAAATCCATGCGCTAGAAATACATGTGTGAGTGAGTGAGATGGGCTTTATGCCGCTTTCAACAATATTTCAGTTAATCACTGTTGGTTGGCACAATGTGTGTAAGGTCTCTCCATCAACTGTCGTCCATCCGTTTCCCTCCTTCTTTCCTTCACCAGAATGTCTGTATTGCAGGTGATCCTCAACTCCATGCACAAGTACCAGCCCCGGATCCACCTACTGAAGAAGACGGATGACACTCAGCTCCCTCTCTCTAACCTTGACATGGAGAAGGTCAAATCCTTCATTTTCAAGGAAACCGTCTTCATTGGCGTCACAGCGTACCAGAATCAGCTGGTAGGTTTATTTTTTGTCTTCAAAAAATAAATTTTGGAACTAGTATTGAACAGCGTTAGATACAGACAAGTTATAAACTGCGTTAGTCAGACATACATGTTAAGGATTATTAGATATTGAGCTATAGTTCGGTCCAATATACTATTCCAACAAAGACTATGAAACGATTGCTTCACGTATTCATGGTGTAAGCCCTGTTCATATTCGATGTGCATTGTGTAATTATATTTTCTAAAATAATAAAATTGAACTTAATTCAATAGTTCTGTTAAGCACGTTAGCATGTGAGTTTTATGAATTTCTTCATCCAGTGGTATGACTTAATTTACAATGTATACATGTATCATTGTGACACGTTTCCCTCTAACGTGGCCGTGTTCTCCTTTTCAGATAACAAAGTTAAAGATTGATAGTAATCCCTTCGCTAAAGGATTCCGTGACTCTACACGACTCACAGATTTTGACAGGTAATTCAATCTTCTGCCTGAATTTACTAATAATATCACGTATAGGATCCAGATACAGTTATTGGCTGATTGCGCAAAAGCTTTAATGATTACTTAAATGTCAAACTTCCTGTACGGTGGTTGTCATCAAAAACGTAAGAAGACTTTTGAAATATGGCATCACGAACATGAATAATCTTAAATACACATTGTCCTGTTGAACCTATTTGAATTTGTTGTAATTTTAAATATATATTATCGATTCATTATTCACCTTAGGTTTTGAAAACACTCTTGCGTCATCACAGATTTTCAGTTAACCATTCATTTTCATAGCTATTTTGCCCTTTACGTCAAATGGAATCTGTTGCAGTGGATAATCGAGATTCTCTGGCGTTAAATGCTTCTTGTTATGGAGTTGGAAATCATGATATATTGTTTGCCGTCGCACCTATCGCGATAATCAGACGTAAATTGAAACAATGGATAGTAATTGCTGCACTGGGGCGGTCGGGTAGCCTAGTGGTTAAAGCGTTCGCTCGTAACGCCGAAGACCCGGGTTCGATTCCCGACATGGGTACAATGTGTGAAGCCCATTTCTGGTGTCCCCCGCCGTGATATTGCTTGAATATTGCTAAAAGCGGCGTAAAACCATACTCACCCACACACTCACTAATTGCTGCACTGTTTTCCGCAGGGAAACAATGGAACACCTTCTGCAGAACCACTCGTATGCGCGATCCCCACTCAAGGCCTTCACACCTGGCGAGATGCTGGAGGAACACTACAAACAGGGAGGCCAAGGTAAATCCTTTATTCATATGGACATACAATGCCATACATTTCTATGTACAGGAGCGTGGGCAAAAGCCTTGGTCCCTAAGAGATTTTAAATGTTAAAGTGGGACATTTCGTTATACATAGTTGCGTCCCATACCCGTACCAGGATCCTAAGAGGGTGGGTCTCAATCAAACATTCGCCTTGATTATGGTTCTTGATTTATCATCACCATACCTATTCATTGCGTTTCACCAGAGTATAACAATCTAAAACATGCGTCACTTTGGTCTCTCCACCACATAAGATGACTCTAACCCACTCTGGTTAAGTTGCCGTTGCGTTCTGTAAGCAAACGTGAGGTGGAATTCGATCATTTGCATATTTTGTAGTTCAACAATAATTTCACGGGTGAGATTTGGTAAATGGTTTAAGAGTGAAGCAGTTAGTGTTTGCTCGAATGTTAAACATACAGGTTCGATTCCCAGTTGATATACAGTGTGTCCCATTTTGGTCTTCCCTACCAGAATAAGCGTGGTAAAACTGGGGCGATGCTTGTCAGTTATTTGGTATTCGACAGAAGTAAAGTGTAAAGAAGACCCAAATAGCTGGAATTGTGTTGACGGTAATCATCAGTGTTGTCCCTCAAAACTGCTAATTGCACATCCTGTCAAACCCGCCATCCACAACGGATGTTTTATTATTAATGATAGAGACAAACGTCATCAAAACCCAGGACTTTCGTTAACACCCCCGACCCTGTCACTTTAAAAACAGAAATCGTGAAAAGGAAATAATCCTTTCAATTTCAATTACACATGTTTCACCGCACCTGACATTTGAAAATACAAAAAAATACAAAAATAATTTTGCAATCAACGTGTCGATTAATTTAAGCCTTCTTCTTCTGTAATAGAAACACTCTCGGAAATTGCTTCCGGTTTGAGTAACTTCCAAGATATGAAAGATGATGACTATATAAAAACGAAAAGACATGCGGCGATTAAGCCATGTTGACGTTTGGATAGCAAGAAATGAAACACAGGAGGTTACATAATATCAAAAGAATTCATCTTGAAGTCTTTATTTGAATGGTGAAATACAGAGAATGGGAAAAACGACCGCATCAATTGGAGACTTCTCTTCGGTTCAGACACTGGCAGGCGGTACATGACGTTTTCCGTAAGAAAAACCAGAGGGGGGGGTTCACTTCTTTGTAGGATGACAAATTAGAGAAGTAGAAGTGTCAGAATGTGTTGAAAAAACACACAGTTGGATATCTCTAATGTATGAATGTTGTTGATAGGTTCATGGCCCGTTCTTTATCGGTTATATTGCTACAACTACCGTACATACGCTAATGTTGTAGCCTAGTTACGACAGCCATTTACGGCACATAGTGGCGTTCGTCTAAGTGACGTCCGAGTCACGATTCTCCCAACTTCCATACCGTAATATGTACTTCCGATAGGTCGTAGTGCGGGTCCCTTGGAGCCCAGAACAATGCCTAATTTCAGGAGGGGAGGCAATCTAAACTTGCCGAATCATTCTCAACTTGAGATGGACTCCCATATTAATATATTCTCTGGAAAACAGACTAAGAGTACCTTTTAGAGAAGCCGTATAAACGACCGTGATAATTCATTTAGAATATCATTGAAACATTCATATATTTTACTCCAGTAAGTATTTGATCATAGATTACATCTGGTGGTGAGTGGTCCCCATGACATGAGCCGATTATCCATTTATCACATGACATGTCTGGAAACTCCATATTAATAATTTATTAAACCTATAATCCTGATATGACATAAACAAAATCCATATTTGACATCGACATATGGACTGGTTAAACATATGTACTCAAGACTTGACAGTCAAGTCCACTTGTAAATCACTGTTCTCTTCAAAACTGTCAAAAAAATTGTCAATGCAAGAGAATAACCAGTCTAGATTTTCTACCTAAACAGATTCCACTTGACGTAAAGGGCAAATAGCTGTAGAAATTATATGAATGGACCACTGAAAATCAGTGATGAGACCAGGTGTTCGCAAAAAGGGGTAACTCATCTCCAAGGGCAACAATAGAGTTCCGGTGACTGGTGGACTGAAATGAGTTGTGTTTGTTTGTTGTTTAACGCCGCACTCAGCAATATTCCAGCTATTTGACGGAGGTCTGTAAATAATCGAGTCTGGACCAGACAATCCAGTTCTTGGCATCATGAGCATCGACCCACATAGTTGGGATACGATGACATGCATCAACCAAGACATGACCGCCCCTTACACCAAGCATAGTCGCCTTTTACGACAAATGGGTTGCTGAAGACCCATTCTAACACGGATCTTCACGGGTGTGAGAAGAGTTGACTCGGTTGTAATCATGGTAGGGGACACCAAGAATGGGCACCAACACTGATGACAAGAGATCCATTATTATTACTGCATGTGAACTAACTGGATTTTTATCCTCATTTCAGAACCACCCGGAATGCCTGTCAATATGATGTCACCATGGCGGTTTTCTATGTCAGCACTTAGTGCCTATCACGCTTCAGCCAATGAAAAATCTCCGTGTAATCTCTATGGCAACATGTTCAATCATCCATATTTAAATCTACGTAGTGATATCCAATCAGCAGCGGCCCTCAACGAGATGTTGATACGTAGCGCCCTATACAAGAAGAGCCTCCAATCAACGTCAATTGCTAGTCTATATGGCCACGCCCATCGGTTCCACCCGTATCTACAGTCCGAGAAGCATGGCAAGGACGAGTCGTGATGGGAGAGGCCAGATGGAGCCAAATGTCGATGTGGGAGGTGCAATGTTAACATTTTATGACAATGAGAGATGTGCAATGTGTTTGGACCGACTGTGATTAAGAGATGATTTTTGTTGACTTTATCCTAATGATGGGACGAACAGGTTGTTGGAAAGGCGCCGATTCTTCCGGAAAGAGATTAAGCGAACTGTTACAGTGAATAAGTTCTTGCAGATATTAAATCTAGTCTTCAGATTTAGATTCTGCAAATATGACATTCCCATAGTCGTAAAACCCTTTCGATACTAGACTCGGAGTCCACAATACTGGCTGTGAAGTATGAACGTTGTGCTCTGAGTAGTTGCGAAGTCATCCTAGAAGCTGAGAAGGAGGAGGCGTCATTTGGGTGCCCATGAAGCTTATCCTTCACCTTCACCTGTCTCTCCAAGCACTATGTGTCAGTCTTGTCCAGTGACGTCATTGCCCTATGTGTTACCATGGTGACCAGTGCCTTAGGCGCCGGCGCTCTGATCTCACATTGCCTTGTCCATCACCACCACCATCAGCACCACACCCTGTTCCAGGTGAGTTTACGTGCTGCAATATGTCTTAACATGTAAAAGATCCTCAAGGTACAATATGTCTTAATATGTAAAGGTTCCTCAAGGTGCAATATGTCTTAATATGTAAAGGTTCCTCAAGGTGCAATATGTCTTAACATGTAAAAGATCCTCAAGGTACAATATGTCTTAATATGTAAAGGTTCCTCAAGGAGCAATATGTCTTAATATGTAAAAGTTCCTCAAAGTGCAATATGTCTTAATATGCAAAGGTTCCTTAAGGTGCAATATGTATTAATATGTAAAGGTTCCTCAAAGTGCAATATGTCTTAATATATAAAGGATCCTCAAGGTACAATTTGTTTTAATATGTAAGGTTCCTGAAGGTGCAATATGTCTTAATATGTAAAAGTTCCCCAAGGTGCAATATGTCTTGATATGTAAAAGTTCCTCAAAGTGCAATATGTCTTAATATGCAAAGGTTCCTCAAGGTGCAATATGTCTAAATATGTAAAGGTTCCTCAAAGTGCAATATATTGTTACATATAAAGGTTCCTAAAGGTGCAATATGTCTTAACATATAAAGGTTCCTCAAGGTGCAATATGTCTTAACATATAAAGGTTCCTCAAGGTGCAATATGTCTTAATATGTAAAGGTTCCCTAAGGCGCAATATGTCTTAATATGTAAAGGTTCCTCAAGGAGCAATATGTCTTAATATGTAAAGGTTCCTCAAGGTGCAATATGTCTTAATATGTAAAGGTTCCTCAAGGTGCAATATGTCTTAATATGTAAAGGTTCCTCAAGGTGCAATATGTTTTAATATGTAAAGGTTCCTCAAGGTGCAATATGTCTCAATATGTAAACGTTCCTCAAAGTGCAATATGTCTTAATATGTAAAGGTTCCTCAAGGTGCAATATGTCTTAATATGTAAAGGTTCCTCAAGGTGAAATATGTTTTAATATGTAAAGGTTCCTCAAGGTGCAATATGTCTCAATATGTAAACGTTCCTCAAAGTGCAATATGTCTTAATATGTGAAGGATCCTCAAGGGGAAATATGTCTTAATATGTAACGGTTCCTCAAGGAGCTCATCTTGACATTGATATTTGAAATTATTTGAGGTAACAGACAGGGCTTGGTCTCATGTTCATGATGATGAATATTTTTAGTTTTAGATTTTCAGTTTTATGATTTGGAACACACCATTTGTTCCAATTCGCGATGATAATAAATCAAAAAACATTTTTAAAGATTACAGCGTTACAGATACAAATATAAAACAAAACACCAGGGTTAGAGAATAACCTGTCTCGGTTATCCGCCGAAACAGATTTAATTGGGCCTAAAAGGCAAAATAGCGGTGAAAATTATTTGAGATTCTGCTGCTTTACAGAAAAATATTTAAGAAACAATATCAATTGTACCTGGTGGAAAAAATAGTTGGATGTGTTTACAAATTACGATACAATATCGGATCAACCCGTCCTTATCATCATTTTTATTTTGATCTGATGCTCATTATGAACATTTTGACAAATATAACGTGTCCTTAGTACTGTTCAATGACTCCTGGGATTATATTCTGACCTGCGAACTCAACTCTGACAATTTGTTTTCAGACAGAACCATCCAATTCATGGGCAGAGAAGCGCATTCTGCCAACGAAGTCCAGATGAGACGCTAAGCTCCTCCCACCCCCTTCGTTCACCTGCAAGGCTCATCGAAATATGTCTCTAGGTGTCGCAACATGTACACGTGGACCGAGGAGTTCTGTGATGACAGCCGTGGGTTTCTACCACGCATATTTCAAGTGCACTGACAGAGGAAATCCGCGAGATTTAAAACTTTATGAAGTCTATTAAACTATTGTACATACGCGTATATTGTGTAAAGGATTTTATTGAAACTCTATGTTCTGTTGTTGCTTAATTATGAACATTCCGCTTTTGTTTTAATTAAAAATGTCAGTCTCTCTTTCAGTATTTTGTTTGCTCTATAAGGACTTCACAGATAGAGTAGTGGAGATAAACATGAATAACATGGATGAGTGAGTGGAAACAGGGCCCAGGGTCATCTTGACATTGACCAAACCGATATACTGAACGAACCACTGGGCCACATTGGGAATGAGAAAATGTGTTTACATGTAAATGTCAAGATAACCTAAAGTTGATTTCAAACCATTCCTCTGTATTTCAATCAAACATGAAAACCAGGATGAAACTGAGCGTATACGAATTGCATCTTGAATTACTTAAACTGCCCTTGATCTTGTGAACATCACGGACAACGATTTTAGGATCAAAAACTTCCTCCAGAACATGACTTTCAAATGAATTTAAGAAACTCACATAATTTACAATGAATATCATTGTAAAGAGGGTGTTAAAGGATGATTCAACCATTGTGAACCTTTATCTAGGAACAATGTCGAGAACATATGTAGGAACACTATCGAGAACATATGTAGGGACAATATCGAGAATATGTGTAGGGACAATATCAAGAACATATGTGGGAGCATTATCGAGAACATATGTGGGGACAATATCGAGAATATGTGTAGGGACAATATCGAGAATATGGGTAGGGACAATATCGAGAACATATGTGAGGACAATATCGAGAATATGGGTAGGGACAATATCGAGAACATATGTGGGGACACTATCGAGAACATATGTAGGAACACTATCGAGAACATATGTAGGAACATTATCGAGAACATATGTAGGAACATTATCGAGAACATATGTAGGAACATTATCGAGAACATATGTAGGAACAATATCGAGAACATATGTAGGAACATTATCGAGAACATATGTAGGAACAATATCGAGAATATGTGTAGGAACAATATCGAGAATATGTGTAGGGACAATATCAAGAACATATGTGGGAGCATTATCGAGAACATATGTGGGGACAATATCGAGAACATTTGTAGGAACACTATCGAGAACATATTTAGGAACAATATCGAGAACATATGTAGGAACAATCTTTGAAACACATGTTTCAGGACACTTGACAACATTCCAGATGAAATGACACAGCAATAATCATCATTACTTACGCATGTGATAGCAACACTTTGTTACCTAGAGCATTAGCATGACACGGAGTCGATTACGATTCATGTGAAATAATATATATTGCATATGGTGATGGACAATAGCTCATTAAGACACGCACACTGTCTAGTCCAATAGGTTGCGCCATCGTGAAGCATTCAGCTCCCATGACACCTTCTTGTATGACAAGCATCGTATAGGATAACACATACAGCATGTTGTGTTACAACGATGTATTATGTTATCAAGACCACACAAAAACCACACATTAAACTTTATATTGAACATGATCTCCAGCAGGTGGAATGAGCTGGATTCGAATACGCGACAAACAGATCATATTATCAACAGCGTTGTGTTGATAGCGTTACGAAACACTGACAAAATGACATGTATAGACAGTGACGGATAACTGATTCACATTCCACGTGAGCCATTTTGTCCTTATTATACATGTTTGAATCATGCATCATTGCAATGTTATTAATATGTTAAATGATAGTTTGATTTCGACAAAATGGACATGTTTACATGTAAGAAAGAAATAGTAATGTTACAATTATAAAAGTAATATGTGCCACAGATGTTTGCGGAATGTTATTAACCTTAAGGAGTGCATTTGTAATACAACTACGCCCGTTTCATTCTTTAGAGCATTTGATCACACGTTTTATATACACGTTTCTTACTGCAGTTTCAGATCTAATTTTTTTGTACATACTACAAATGTTATGAAAACAACGGAGAAAGTGAACAAAGTCTAATTCAAACTGTGTCTTGGGCCCTTGTTATTTCGTTATTTAAAAAACAATTCAAGGAAAACGTCAATAGACGTCATTTCCTCAAAGGGTAATGGTCTAGTTTAAATTTAATTAATATCAGAAACAAAATACAAAATATTTGGATCACCAAAATAACACATACACTGTCCAAATGTTCACGTTCATGTTTTGAAGGATTTTCTCCATGAATGATTTTCTTCAAGACAAGATGAAGACGCGGTTTCAAAATTTAACCCTGCAGCTCCTGCCAAGACGACAAGGCCCCTGGAGACGACATTCTGCCATTGGCGTGCTGATTTGTCACATCACAACACCTTATGCCATTACAATTAGGTAGCTGTGACAAAAACACGGGCTGACGACTCGAAATATCGTTTTTGACATGTTGTTACATCATTTAGCTGTGATGTCGACATCAACTTGACGATTTAATCTGATTATACTTGGCATAACGACAAAATTTCTATGCTAACTGCTAGTGCTGTTCCTGCATACAGCGGGTTGAGTGGGTCTCTACACTCACAGGAAGGTCGTCAGACCAGCTCTAGCAATCTAACACAATTATTTATGCATATCAGGTTTGGTAATTATGAATCATAGAAATAAAAAAAAAAGAGAAGCATGATTGCAGGGTGGGCGTGTTGACGTCATATTACTGTATGATTGCCAGACTACAACGCGTTCGAGAACAAATGGTAACATCATCTAGTTTTTAATACAGGTCATAATGTGCGGAAGACCTTCCTTTTGAAATATGCGCGAAAGAGAACTTATGGTAACAACACCAAGATAGGTTAATACAGCTCATAGTCTCGGGAAGAACTCTTGAGAGTATGAGCGCGAACGAGAAATTATGGTAACAACACACAGGCTTATGAATCTGATATTGTAAAGAAGACCTTCCCTTGAAAAATAAAAACGACAAACCTCTTGGCATACTCATAAGCAATATCTTGTGATTGTACGATTTCGACTACATGTATATGTTTATCAAACAGTCAGGATTACCAGATATTCGCGAAAAAACGCTTATTTTTTCAATAAAGATTGTGTGAGTGGTGGGGGCTACCGGTAGATCGGGACACATAAAGGTTTGTGCATCTTATATCGTGGGGGAAATACCTTTACTGTAAAATATGCGCGGTCGAGAACGTATTGTAACATCAAGGTTAATACAGCTTATATTGTTGGTAATATATTTCATGTGAAATATGCGCGATCGAGTACGTATGATAACATCAAGGTTAATACTGCTCATATTGTTGGTAATATATTTCCTGTGAAATATGCGCGGTAGAGAACGTTAGTAACACCAAAGTTAATACTGCTCATATTGTTGCGAAGACATTTTCTTTGAAATATGCGCGGTCGAGAACGTATGATAACACCCAGGTTAATACAGCTCATATTGTTGGGAATAAATTCCCTGTGAAATATGCGCGGTCGAGAACGTATGATAACACGCAGGTTAATACAACTCATATTGTTGGTGATAAATTCCCTGTGAAATATGCGCGGTCGAGAACGTAGGATAACACCCAGGTTAATACAACTCATATTGTTGGGAATATATTTACTGTGAAATATTCGCTGTCGAGAACGTATGACAACATCAGGGTTAATACAGCTCATATTGATGGTGATAAATTCCCTGTGAAATATGCGCGGTCGAGAACGTATTGTAACATCAAGGTTAATACAGCTTATATTGTTGGTAATATATTTCATGTGAAATATGCGCGATCGAGTACGTATGATAACATCAAGGTTAATACTGCTCATATTGTTGGTAATATATTTCCTGTGAAATATGCGCGGTAGAGAACGTTAGTAACACCAAAGTTAATACTGCTCATATTGTTGCGAAGACATTTTCTTTGAAATATGCGCGGTCGAGAACGTATGATAACACCCAGGTTAATACAGCTCATATTGTTGGGAATAAATTCCCTGTGAAATATGCGCGGTCGAGAACGTATGATAACACGCAGGTTAATACAACTCATATTGTTGGTGATAAATTCCCTGTGAAATATGCGCGGTCGAGAACGTAGGATAACACCCAGGTTAATACAGCTCATATTGTTGGGAATATATTTACTGTGAAATATTCGCTGTCGAGAACGTATGATAACATCAGGGTTAATACAGCTCATATTGATGGTGATAAATTCCCTGTGAAATATGCGCGGTCGAGAACGTATGATAACATCAAGGTTAATACAGCTCATATTGATGGTGATAAATTTCCTGTGAAACATGCGCGGTCGAGAACGTATGGTAACACCAAGGTTAGTACAGCTAATATTGTCGGTAAAACCTATCCTGTGAGTGAGTGAGTGAGTGAGTGAGTATTGTTTAACGCCGCTTTTAGCAATATTCCAGCAATATCACGGCGGGGGACACCAGAAATGGGCTTCACACATTGTACCCATGTCGGGAATCGAACCCGGGTCTTCGGCGTAACGAACGAACGCTTTAACCACTAGGCTACCCGACCGCCCCCTATCCTGTGAAACATGCGCGGTCGAGAACGTATGGTAACACCAAGGTTAATACAGCTCATATTGTTGGGAATACCTATCCTGTGAAACATGCGCGGTCGAGAACGTATGGTAACACCAAGGTTAATACATCTCATATTGTTGGGAATACCTATCCTTTGAAACATGCGCGGTCGAGAACGTATGGTAACACCAAGGTTAATACAGCTCATATTGTTGGGAATACTTATCCTGTGAAACATGCGCGGTCGAGAACGTATGGTAACACCAAGGTTAATACAGCTCATATTGTTGGGAATACCTATCCTTTGAAACATGCGCGGTCGAGAACGTATGGTAACACCAAGGTTAATACAGCTCATATTGTTGGGAATACTTATCCTGTGAAACATGCGCGGTCGAGAACGTATGGTAACACCAAGGTTAATACAGCTCATATTGTTGGGAATACTTATCCTGTGAAATATGCGCGGTCGAGGCAACAACACCAAGATTTATACAGTTCATAATGCGCTGTTCTACATTCGTACGCTTCATGGCAGCGTAAGCACTGAATCAAAATGTTATGTTATGTTAAGTTTAAGACTATGAAATAAATCTTATATTTGTATGACACATGACAATGTGTAGGGATTACAACGTCTGGCTTTATTGATTACCAGTTTTCGTTGTTTCTGATATTGGTTTTGCTGGCTATACCGACAGTCAGCTATACCATTTAGCACTGTGTACATCTGACCGCTCTAAAAACACGATCAACCATCTTTTCAGAGGAGCAAGCTGACACAATTTCATCATTTTCGGCCGCTCTACAAAAGAAATGGAAGTGCCACCATCAACAGCGCCGGGATATCTCACACTTTTGGAGAGCAGAGTTGCATCCCATGTGCACACTAAAAAGCTATGATTATGGGTTCGAATCCGGTTCGGGCCGATTAAGTTTCTAGGTTTGTCAGCACCATACCCGTGCTCGTGGGTTTCATCGAAGTGGTAAACGTCTGAGACCTGCATCACTTCGGGCTTTCCTTCATTTAGCTAACGACATGATATAATTGGAATACTGTTAAAACGGCGTCAAACCCAACTCCTTCACTCACAGGTAACGTATCAAAAATCGTTTCCTTGCATATTAAAGACCCTTCTCTGAAATATTATGACCTCTCAAAATATAGTAACGGACTCAAATAATTGTTTCCAAAAACACACTACTACTACTACTACTTCTACTACTACTACTACTACTACTACTACTACTTCGGCGTGCGATTGGGTAGTCAAGTGGTTTCTTGCTTTCAAAATTCCTTGTTTAATTACCCACATGGGTACAATGTGTGAAGCCCATTTCTGGTATAGCCCGCCGTGATATTGCTAGATTATTTCAAAAGCAGCGTTAAAAATCCAGTTGACTCACTGACTCGTTCACTACTACCAAGTAAGGAATCGTTTCTAGGTCTGGAAAAGTTTAGCAATGAAACCGTTGTCAACAAAATACACCTTAACAGTGCTACTATACAGTGTGTGAACGTCCTGCTGGATACAGCTGGAGCAGCTGAAATTGTGAAATTATTTCGAGATATACAAAGTTTGAGGCAACGAGGGAGATTGTGGGCGATGAAGACAATAATGTATATTAATCAAGGTCGTGAACAACAGTCACAAAACAAACACGATGCCCTTTCTATTCCTACCAAGTTTTGATAATGCAATGACACATTGCTGGGTTTTCCGACGCTCCATATGGTATTTAGGGCAAATTTAGTGGGGGGAGTAGGCACAGAAACCACCTAGGATGGCATTCAAAGTGGAATCTAAAGTATGAAAAAATAAGAACTGAAATATTTGAGATATTCTAGAAATAGGAGAGCCCTCCTTAAATTTAATAACATTTATTTTAGAACGTCTGATAATTTTAGCGATTTACCGAGACAGGAAAAATATATAAGGACTAGTTACGTAGACTTCATAAGACAATTACCCCTGTATTTTGAAGATTTTGGCATTCCATGCTCAGATTCCATCTAATTTTGTTCATGACATGTAACCTGCTGTGTCAAAATTGAATTTGTTTCTCCGTTTATCTCTGCTTCTGCATTCCTGTTGCTAAATGGATCAGTCTTTGTAGGACGATAGGCGACCACTGACAAGCCCACCATTCACGGCCATGATAAAACTGGCGCTGGTTTAACACAAAGGGTCTTTGCAAGAGAGAATTGTTACGTGGATTGTTAGATCGTATCTTGAATGACACTTGCAATATTAACAAGTATATAGACAAGGGCATGACCTCACTGTAAGATTGGCATTTTTGGGGTGTTTTTATGTAATATTTGAAATCTCTATTTATATAATGATTCATATGTTCAATGCAAGGACCTATGACATCACTCCTATTGGTTCATACTGGTATCACGTTATAAAAACAAGCAGATAACCCACACCCACATTTCCACCTTTCAAGGGTGGGTACTGATAATCTGGTGCAAAGGCAAATTCATATATTGTTGGCTTCCTGGACATATAGTTCAAGGAATCGTGACAAAATGATAACAAATTCGAAAGAAACCATCGTATTATTTCAATGCCTGTAAGATGGCTGGCATATTTATATGATGTGTCCTTTATCCACCAGGTCATCCGCATGTCTTTCTTTGTTCAGCCTCTTGTGCCAGATTTGTCCGTTGGTGGTCCTCGACATTCTGTGGTCTGAATGTGTTCGTCCCACGCTGTACCTGTCAAATGGTTGTCTTCTGATCTCCTACTTGTCATCTGGTTGCCATGTGATCTCCTGCTTGTCATCTGGTTGCCCTGTGATCTCCTACTGGTCGCTTGATTGGCCTGTGATATCCGACTTGTCACCTGGTTGCCCTGTGATATCCGACTTGTCACCTGGTTGCCCTGTGATATCTGACTTGTCATCTGGTTGCCCTGTGATCTCCGACTTGTCATCTGGTTGCCATGTGATGTCCTACTTGTCGTCTGGTTGTCCTGTGATCTCCTGCTTGCTTCTTGGTTGCCCTGTGATCTCCTGCTTGCTTCTTGGTTGCCCTGTGATCTCCTATTTGTCATCTGTCTTTTTAATATCCTACTCTTCACCTCGTCATACCATATGGATGTAGTTTGGTCCCTTGGGGGTCGCTCGGTTGTCCTGGGTTTCAAGCTACACCTTTGTTGTCCTCTGGTTCCAAGTTGTATCTTTGATGTCCCTGGTTCCAAGTTGTATCTTTGTTGTTCCTATGCTTCCAACTTGCGTCTTGGTTGTCCTCTGGTTCTACGTTGTACCTTGGTTGTCCCTGGTTCCAAGTTGTATCTTTGTTGTCCGTGGTTCCAAGTTGTATCTTTGTTGTTCCTATTCTTCCAACTTGCGTCTTGGTTGTCCTCTGGTTCTACGTTGTACCTTGGTTGTCCTCTGGTTCCAAGTTGTATCTTTGTTGTCCGTGGTTCCAAGTTGTATCTTTATTGTTCCTATGCTTCCAACTTGCTTCTTGGTTGTCCTCTGGTTCTACGTTGTACCTTGGTTGTCCCTGGTTCCAAGTTGTATCTTTGTTGTCCGTGGTTCCAAGTTGTATCTTTGTTGTCCGTGGTTCCAAGTTGTATCTTTATTGTTCCTATGCTTCCAACTTGCTTCTTGGTTGTCCTCTGGTTCTACGTTGTACCTTGGTTGTCCGTGGTTCCAAGTTGTATCTTTGTTGTCCGTGGTTCCAAGTTGTATCTTTGTTGTTCCTATGCTTCCAACTTGCGTCTTGGTTGTCCTCTGGTTCTACGTTGTACCTTGGTTGTCCCTGGTTCCAAGTTGTATCTTTGTTGTCCGTGGTTCCAAGTTGTATCTTTGTTGTTCCTATGCTTCCAACTTGCGTCTTGGTTGTCCTCTGGTTCTACGTTGTACCTTGGTTGTCCCTGGTTCCAAGTTGTATCTTTGTTGTCCGTGGTTCCAAGTTGTATCTTTGTTGTTCCTATGCTTCCAACTTGCGTCTTGGTTGTCCTCTGGTTCTACGTTGTACCTTGGTTGTCCCTGGTTCCAAGTTGTATCTTTGTTGTCCGTGGTTCCAAGTTGTATCTTTGTTGTTCCTATGCTTCCAACTTGCGTCTTGGTTGTCCTCTGGTTCTACGTTGTACCTTGGTTGTCCTCTGGTTCTACGTTGTACCTTAGTTGTCCTCTGGTTCTACGTTGTACCTTGGTTGTCATGCGTTCTATGTTGTATCTTAGTTGCCCTCTACTTCCCAAGTAAAGCTCTAGTCGCCTACAAGAAACTTACACGTCTCCTAGTACCGTCTAGTTCCACTGTTCCCCGTGTTAATCTGACGCCTGGAGTCCAGCCTGCACTTATCTTGCCATCTTAAGGAAATCAAGTCACAATACTGCGTTTCGTCTTCTCTCAGCTAGAAGAGTAACACGATTGTAAAGATTGAATGTGTCATCTCAATGTGAATACCCTTAATCCGAAAAGAGGTGAATAATACACATCGACGTGGCAGTCTCCAGATTGTTGTGTTGATTTCAGACAAAAGTTCCATAGCCAGCTTTATATAATTCCAATATAGCGATCTCTTCGAAAACTTACCCGCTTACACAAATCAATGTTATTTATGTGATAGTGGTGATGATATATTAGAATAAAAGCCTTCACGGTACCCACGGAATATAAAAATATGTTTTTCTTTCACCACTTTCCCACACGATATAAACTTAACGAAAAGCTTCATTCTTTGATCCACGGGCCATCTGTCACTAAATGTGGCGACCATAGATATTGTTACATCATTATCTTCAAATCTCAGGACAAGTTGTCAAAAATGACAGTGTCATCTGAAGTGTATTGAGAAATCAATACGTGAAATGCTGGACTTCCTCATAGATAACACCTGTGTGAAATGTGGGTATAGGACATCTAGGCACCAGTCATCCTCCCCTCCACCCTGATATATTTATACATATGAATGAGAATTTCTGCTCCGACTGGCAAATTACAAGCAAGGGAATTTGACCAAGAAGTCCAGTAATGGCGATGATCTGCTATCGTTGAATAAGAGTCCAATAGTCCCTTCCCTTCGATTCATTTACCCACCTGAAATAGAAATACAAGAGACCAGTGCATCCGTCTCATCTGTTTCATATTTAAATCTCTGCATAAAGATTCAGAGTGGCAAAAACTTTGCACACGAGGGATTACTTCAACTTTCCAACAGTCAACTTTCCCTTCAAGACAAGCAATATTTCCGCAGCTCCAGCCTTTGGTATCTTCGATCATTTCTCAATTTTTGAGGTACAATCGAGCATGCTCTTTCTGCGAAGGTTTTAAAAGAGCGTTGTACGACTCAGTAGTCAAGGCCTTAGTCAGCTTTTAATAACTTTCATAGTAGACATGTGGAGGACATATCCAAATTTGACGCATCGGTCAAACTCTTGCTTTAATGTTTGATGTCATTAACTATTTTGACTTGTACCATATGTCCCCATGTCTCATCAGGTCAACAATTGTTTTGCCTTTGAATGTGTTTGTGACGGTTGCCACCGGTGAGGCAGGATACATTCATCACCTGATTTCATCACCATTTGGAAGTGGCTCATAAACACATGCATATGATATAGCGGGTTTCTATGAAACAATGAAGATTTCTTACGATTATGAAAAGGTACATCTTTAAATTATTTACACAAATACGCCTCGATCTCTAAAATAACTAAATAGTTTGACAACTGTAGAACACCTGATTTACGACCATGAACGCGACGTGACATAAACGTTTGAGCACCTAATCCACGACAACACAAGCTGTACATCGGACAACATTAACGTTTCAAAACTGTGTGACATGGGGAATCGGATGTAATAAATATTGCACTTGTGAGAAGTTCTAACGATAAACCCCTAAACATCAAAGTTATAAAACATGTCAAACAAACTATTTGACCAATTTATTTCTAATTACTGTATTTGAAATTTAATTTTTTGTCCGACTTAATGCTAATACAGTATATAAATCGGAATTTTGCGTCATTTTGTATCATTTGATCAATGTCAATTGCGTAATGAATATTAAGACTGGACTCATGATACATCCACTGTGAAATGTCTCTCTGATTATAACAATGATTACGTCTTATAAATATGAGGTTAATAATTACATTCAAATTACAAGCCGCCATATTAAAGAATCAACATTCCTCCAAACTGTACGGGGAAATCAGGCGGGATTTAGCATTGTTTCATGACTAGAAGAATTCAAAAGGAGTCACTCGACGGTTGTTGCCATGGTAAATAGGCTACATTGCGGTTGATGTGGCAGCGCCGTGATCTAAGACTGCACTATAACATATCATCATCCTCTGTTTCTGACGAGAAATTATCGCTTTATGTCACATCCCAATATCAGCCCATTCTTTGGCAATTTAAAGGGTAATTTTTGGATGAAAGAATTCTAATATTTGCAATAACTGTATTTGGCGTAGTGTAGCGCTACTGGTTAGAAGTTTCTAATTGGTCCACTGGCGCCGTTCTGTCCGCAATGTTTTTCTTCTTCTGAATAAACAATTAGATATGAATATTTTTGTCATGCTGAAGGACATTACAGTGGAAAATATTGTTTTAAAAATTCAACATTGTGTGCGCTTAAAAAACTGTCACACTGCTATTTATTTGCCAACGAATATATTCTACTATTCGGTCTCAAGGGATTTTTTTTATTTGCGTACTGAACATTGGATGTTGACCTTCTCTCAGCATAGGATTGAACATTGGTGAAATCACTGCCGCTTAAAAAATGCCTTCGGAATAAGCTTACTTCAAAACGTTGAAAAAAGACAGGTAATTAGTTAATGTAAAATTAACAACACGAGGGCTTAACTATTCTTCATATAGCTGTATATAAGCGTATCAGGAAGTTAATGAGATTGTGATCCACTGTGTTCCATGGATGACACGCCTAAAGGGGCGACGGGGTGGTCGAGTAGTTAAAATCGTTTGCTACTCATGCCAACGACTCTGATTCCATTTCAAACACGGCGTCCCCAGTTCTTGTACTGCTGTATATTGCTAAAAATGGCGTAAACCCATCTCTATCATTCATACGCGTAACGATATAGCATTGTTTGCATTGTTACTAGTTACCGACTAAACCAACTACAACCTTGGTAATTTAGGTTGTTTTCGCACCCGAACAGCATGCGTGACTGCTCACAATATCACCCATTGGTTGCCTGGAGCAGAACCGATAACAAGCTGCTACATCGCGTACATAGACTGGATACTGCTAGTCTCTGATATTACATACCCGGACACCCTGGTCTAATATAGTGTGTTATTGTGAAGACTGGACAGAATATATATCGCAGCGAGGGGACACCGGAAATGGGCTTCCCATGTGGAGAATCGAACCCGGGCCTTCAGCATGCCAAGTCAACACGTTAACCAATGTGCTGCCCAAGCGCACCTGTTACAGTCCAAAGAATATCATCTTAAATATATGGTGCAGTTATCTATTAAATAATACTGCCATTTTATTTTCACATATATTGCTTTCAACAGATATTTCAACCTTGATGTTATTACTAGGGATTATATCTATAGCCTAGTTTGTATTTTAGTCAATGGAATGTTTCAACTTCAATTGAACTGATATAAATATGATATTCATTTAACTGGTATTGCAATATCTGCTTTGGTGCTGATTTCAGTCTTAGACTGAGCTTCCATTTAAAAATATATTTCCATTAATCATGGTTATTTCTTTATTCGTATTGGTTTTAATATATAGACAATAGAGGGGTTTTTAACAAATGATTTTAAATGAAATTATTGAGATTTGTACTGAATGTAATATAAAGAAAATATACACTTGAAAATTGGATTTGACCAAAAAATGTCAACGTTCTTAAAACATTACCAGGCTGTAGACAGTGCCCGAAAAGCTTTAAATTTGTGATCTATAGCACAACTATGATACCTGTACCAAATTCATTATAACCATTTCTCGTTTGTTTCATTTTTAGCCACCGTCAAACATGGGTGTTTTCTTTCTTTTCCCAGGCAGTTTAGGTGTATATTTTTTTCTCAATGAAGATTTCTTTT